TTCCCTTGACATCATGTCCATTGTGTAGCAGTGTGTCCTTTGTGGTTTCCACGTGAACTTTTGCTTCTCTTTCTCTTCATCTTTGAGGTCTCATTTCATGTCAGCACACCTCATCAACCTGTATCATATATTCAGCTAAGGTTCAGGTCTGAAGAGGTGAATGCACAAGTTTTGACCGCATATGATTTAGAACCGGCGGTTGTTTTATCTAAAAGTCATGGTGTGCTCCAGGCCCTTGTGCCGCCTCTGTGGTCTGTGGAGAAAAGTAATTACTACAGGGCCTAAAGCCACCAGCTCTGGCCTTTGGACTCCGCTGCCACATCCTGTAAGCAGTGGCTTCGCTTTTAAAAGATCTCTCTTATTTTTGTATGGCTCTTTTTCTCATGACCAGTATGCTTTCTCGTCCGATTAAAACCACCACCCTCTCGACGTCTTTTCAAACTTTTATTCAACACTTGATTATTTAGCAGGTGTCTTTTCAAATTCAGTATGTCTTTATTTACCACTTTCCTTGTCCGTCACTCATCTCCGTCTCTACTTTTCAACGTCCTCCTCTTCCCCTCTTCATCTCCACCCTCATTCTCTTGAGTGTTGCCAGAGCGCCGACTGCGTCTTTGAGGAAAACCTCCACTCTTCCCAGTAATCACCACTTAAAGGGAATTCCTCTTCCAGCAACAGGCCTGCAGCTCTGCATCTTTGAAGATTTGATGGTTTGATGGCTATAATTTGCTTAAAATAACACCAATAAAGTCATGAAGCTGTAAATGCCTAAATACCTAATGTACTAAGATGAAACACGATTCAGCCTTTGATTTTGTAGCTTTTAAGAACGTCTTGGGTTACTTTGTGTTTTGAGGTGTTGTTCTAGATATATCTTTAATATACATAAATGATTTATTTAAAGACGTTGCTGTTATGACTCTTAATCATACAGACTGTTAATTATCTATAAATACAATGTAAACATGCACTTTTGTGGCATTAAGCTTAGCTATAATCTTCTAATATTCTGCAATATTACACATTCTTGCCCAATGCAAGAGGCTTTACAAACATTACTTCACAAGCAACATAAAAGTGGGTTGAATGAGTAAGCGGCTAAATAATAAGCAGCATTAAGCCTGCACTATTATAACACGTCAGCAATACTTCATGCTCCAGTGCATTGTTCATTCTCCAGGCTCAGCCAATAGGAGGAGGTGGCATCTTTCAAAAACCAGGGGAAAGCCCTGAGCATGAGTAGCAGACTAGACTCTCCACCTGAACGGCCTCTGGAGTCAACCCTCTCCTTCCTCATCCTCCCACCTGCCCTCAGCAATACCTGTCGCGCTCATTCACCGAAGACACTGAACACCTCAGCTTAGTGGACCATGAGGAGAATTAGTTAGAGCTTCTTCCAAGTCTGACCTGAAAGGAGAAGCAGGTAAGATTGCAGGGGAGGCCCTAGCTGGGGGAGAGCATTTTATACTAAAGTAAATTCATATTATTAAGTTTATTTACTGACACTGTGGTAAATTTACTTTGGTATGTGACCTGCACCAGGTTGTAACTAATCAGTGATTCCCAGGGAGGAAAGCCCTCCCCGACAGGCCTTGTTCTGTGTCATGTTGACACAACACAGTGGCCCGTCACTAATCCCCATCATACCTGACCCCCTCCATTGCTGGGTCAGACTTTAGGGTCATCACATGACCGCAAATGAGCTAACAATCACAAGGGCCTCTGATTTCTAGCTTTACAATTGACTGGAAGATTGCGATTGCCGCTGAAATGTGGACTGTTTACAGAAAGGTTAAGTCGCATCATATGACAAGATCCCATCTGTGTTGGATGACAGATGATACAAAAGGCAGGTGTATGTAGTTGTTTATAACAAATCCCTTGTGCGCCTTTCAAAACAGTTCACAGTAGGAGCAACCTGTTTGTATACGGAACAGCATCACAACCGCAACCTCCTGTCTTTTAATGACCGAATAAACAAACCAGCAGACATGATAGTGCTGCGCTTTTGTTAAGGGAAAGGGCAGAGAGCTAGTTAAGGAAGGAGTCTGGCCCCACATGAAAAGAAACAGGGAGGAGAAGGGAGAAGGAGAGACGCCTGGGTGTTCCTCCAGCATTGTTCAGCCTTCTGCCTCTGAGGGACACCTGTCATTGGCTGGGCGGTTTACACAGGTGCCCTTAACCCCGCCTGATTTGTTGGCCTTGAAAGGAGGCTTCAGTCAACAGGTAGCGTGAAGGGAACAATAGTGACGATCCTGAAGAAGAGAGAGAGAGAGAGAGAGAGTGGGAGGAGGGTGGGATGGCGAAAAAGAGAAATGAATTCTTTGGAAAGCACCTGAGGGTTTGTGTGAGATAATCTGTTTGCCTTTTACGCACAGTCCCACCTTGTAGGGTGGAGGCGGGCGTATCGGTGTGTTTGTGGCGGTCAACGTGTTGCTCAACGATCCCTCTCTCAAGAAACTCCTCCTCCGTGTGGCCCGTGCGAATTCAAATCATCCATCTTCAGTCCTCTCTGTTTCAACCTCTTCATAACCTCGGTTTCCATGGTTATGCCGCTGTACCCGAGGCTCAGTTAACCAGAGGGCTGTGCAAACTCGTGGTCTCTCATGGCACTGGCGCTTTGCCAAGAACCAGCCCTAATAAAGTGATACTGTTACACCAACACCACACACACCCTGGCTTCAAGAGCCAAGCAAGCGGGGCTTGTTCCTACCACGTTGTTTGTGTTGACGTTTTGCATGCATGCGTGTGTGTGTGTGTGTGGTCTCGCTGCCAGGGGAAATGCCAAGTTCCCTCTCACCCTGTGTGGAATGTGGCAGGCAGAGCAGACCAATGTGTGTGTGTGAGCTGGGGAAACTACTGTGGAGGGGGAGAAACTAGTTAAGCCGACACAACTGAAAGAAAGAATCAGAAATTTCAACAGTGACTCCGTAAGTGCAATTTCTTAATCACACAAGGGATTCTGTGTTAGACAGCCTTAAAAATCCTTCAGAAAAGTGGTTCATGCACACATTAAGTTGTACAAAGATAAAATCTTTCATCATTAAAAATCCTAACACACATATCACAACCTATTTTAGCTATTTCTACTTTCTGTGATTTTTAATTTAGCTTGGCAACGAGCAAATGACCTATAGGCTTAAATGAATATATACAGGTAATAAATCTGAGTCTCTGTAATGTAAAGACATTTGCTGTGGTTGGTTTCTAGTCCACATCCTGATAATCTGGTTTGAGGCATGCAAATAATCTCTAAATAAACTTAAAATAGGATTGTTTCTGCACCTGTTCTCCATGTTAACAACGCAGGCACAGGTGGGAACCTGTTACTATGAGCAATGGTGGTTTAATAACCATCTTTATTTAGAGTGAGGCTGACCTTTCAAAGCCTGAGAATGTTGTGTTTCCCTTCCTCCTTTTAACTGTGGCTATGGTGATAAGGGGACAATGTGTGTACTTGCTTGCAGGCTAATGTGCGTGTTAGGGAACAATGTTTATTTCCTCTTCCCAACCAAACACTAACCAAATACAGGTAATTGAATCACAGTGTGTCCACTTTGCGAGTGTTTGTGAGCATGTGTGTGTGTGTTGACTTCCCTGTAAATGTGTTTGCAGAGCACTTACAAGGGAGCTTGAGCTTGTTTTTGATGTTGTTTTCAGTCGTTGAACAAGACATTTTCAACCTGGATATATGTGGAAACAGAGAAATTGTCTTACTTTGAGTCTCCTTTAGTACACCACGCTTTATTCACCAAACCTTTTTCCCCATCTTCCCCTCATCAGGGCAGGGTTTTTTGAATTTAACAACTACAGCGAAATTCAGAAAATGGGAGAAGCTTAAACTTAAAGTAAAGTCTTTGTATCTCCTCTGCAGCAGCCAGAAAGACATTATATGACAGTGGTCTGCGGATCAGCTCTCTCCTTTATCTGTGCTTTCCTTCTCACAGGCTGGAATGTTAATGGTGGCTTTTGTGATGGGTTCAGTTATCCCGTGTGACTGACAGGCTGACTGGCAGCTCTCAAAGACTCTTAATGGGAAAGTAGAGTTAGCCGAGTTTAGTTTAGTGTTTTAAAAGAATGAGAGCTTTTATTTGATTTGAAGCAGCCTCCAAGGTTAAATGAAAGTTCACCCGGGGCTTGTTCCATTAAATGGTTTATGTAATGTTTCTATTCACAGTCTTGATACCAGCTGGTTGTTTTGTGCAAGTGGTTGCAACATGGTTACTGGCGAGCAAATAACACGCTAATAGAAACTGAGCCTGAAGGGTGGCATATAAAAGCTTTAAGAAATCAAGGTCTGTCTGGCTGTATAAACAGTTCATCACACAGCCAGAACCACGTGGCTCTCTGAATTGGTCTTTGGTATATAGATCAATAAGCTGACCATCACACAGCCTGGCAGCATTCTTAGCTCCCATAATTCTGCTTCAGAAAATTCAAAAAAATCCACTAAGTAGGTATGTATGCGCTGTGTCCTTGTATAAAAAGTGCAATAATGTCAGGCTTTAAAATCATCCCTGGAAGATATTTTTTAATATCAAACAGAAAGTTCTACAGCCATGACTGGAGGGCTGACGCTAACAGCCAAATAAGATAAAGCTTTACCCTCTTTGTGCTGTTGCGGTATTCTGGGCCTGGAGGCGTCTTTTAGATGTAAGCAGTGATCTGTTGGGGCTTGCTGATACGCAGCACTACCAAATATCCATAGAAACACTCCATTATTGAAGAAAAAGACCATAGCACACTGATAGCACGCTACCAACTCGGTCTGCATGTGATAGTAGCATGAAATAAGGTTGATTAAGTGGTGGTTTAGCTCGGGCATTGCAAAACAGAGATAGCTACTCATTACTTCCAGTGAAGAGAAATTCAATTTTATAGCCTAAGGATGCTTGTACTGGACATATAATGCATACTGGGGCTGAAAGTTTCTGTGTTTTGTGCATGCAGCAATGGTTAAAGTGAGGTAACGGCTGCTTTGGCATTTTGCTGTCTCATAGGTTACCTGTCCAAAGTGTTGAGGAACTACACCGAGCAGGCCTGCGACGGAGACTTCTTGTCTGTTCGCTGCCCGCCCCGCACCACCATCACTGTCCAATCGGCTTTCTACGGAAGGAAAGGCGCCTCGGACCCTCAGCAGTGCCCTCAGACCTACCAGGCCCTCCTCAGTTCTTATAACACTCGGGAGGATGATCGATATTGTTCTGTGTCCACTGCACTACAGGTAAATAACTAAGGTCACACATTCCTGGCTGTATCAGGACATTATCTTTTTCTTTCTGTCAGTCCACTCTTCACAAGCATACAGATTTTTGGGCTGCAGATCCTCCTGACAGAAAGTGTCCTCTAAAATTGTCAAATTGACCAAGGGTTATATTTTGGAGGATCACTGGTTATGTAATGCTTTGTGAGGATGTTTTCCGGCAAATTACACTCTCTAAAGAGGAAGCAGGCTTGTATGTTCCCATGACACAAAGCGATTTCATGGGGTCTTTGCCTTAGCATCCTCTCCTAAATTGGGATGCGGCTGCCCTAGAACCCCCACTTTGCAGCACCAATACAAACACACACAAACACATCCTGTTCAGAATTCATTCGGTTGTTTGGTTTATTCTTAGTCCCTCTGCCTTCTAGCGTAGAACACCCTCTATTTCCATAATAGACAGGACAGCCATGAATGCACAGACACAGAGAGTGCATTGTGCTGAAGTGAGAGAATGACTGACTGCTGCGCCACCCACATTAGTACAACCCTGAGGAATCCCTTTGTACCACCTGTTCACGACCCCTGGTTTGTTGGTATTACAGTATGGGTGTCTCCATATAAAAAGGCTTAGTTTAGTTTAGTTTAATACCGAAAGTGAAACTTAAATGATTAATCAATTAGAAGAATTATTGCAGATTGATTTTCTGTTTTTATTGGCTAGTTATTTCAATAATCCAGCTATTCCTCACATTAAAAATCTGGTAGCAGCATTCTGCATTGCAGTACTTTTAATAGATTCTCAGTGTCAGTATTTACAGATATATATTTTATGTTGGACTGCAGCAGACTTGTTTATTGTAATAAAAGGATATTGCACTTCATTTTACATATATTAATCATTAATATCGCTCTGAGTGAGCACCTGCATATGTATTTGGTATGTATTAGGTGGGAGCACACAGATCTCCCTTATTTTCCCCTCTGCATTCCATGATCTATTGTAACAAATGCCTCTCCTTTTATGTTAAATTCGGGGAAGGCTCTGAACAGAATCCATTCAGTCATTTCTCCAGCGAGTGGGATCTCAGTATGGGAGACTGTATTGTGTTGGAATGTGCTCACCTGGGTTACAGCCGGCTAAAGATGATGAAACTAGAGAAGCAAAAGGATGCCAGGAAATGAGTGGAGTGGAGCTTTCCAGAGATTTCTTTCTCCCATTCTCTTTATTCTCTTACCTGCTCCTCTCCTCCATATTCCCATGGCCATAAGCAGCTTGTTTGAAGTGGTTTTAGGTTTGCCTGCTGCTGGTCTCACCATCGTTGGCTTATTGTCCTCCCTCTAAACCTCTCTTTGGTCTTCTCCCACTCTCTGTCACTCTTTCCTTCTTTAGAAAATGCTGGACGAGTGCCAAGACAGAAGGAGCTGTCAAGTCCTTGTCAACAGCCGCGTGTTTGGGACAGACCAGTGTCCTGGCAGCAGTAAATACCTCATTGTCTGGTACAAATGCAGACCTAGTAAGTCCCTCATCGCCTCAAATCCTGACAGTGACACCCATTTCTGTGTCTCTCTGTGCTGGGACTGTTTTTTTTTTCTTTTCTCACACACCTCCACATTTAGTCCAATATACACCAGGGGTGGGGTCACTTTATTTGCACTTGAAACAAAGTGAATCACGACATTAACAATCAAAGGAAATGTATGAGATTATTATTGAAGCTAGGTAAGTATTTTTTACCGAAACACCGCTTTTAAGTGGACAGAAAACAAAAGCATCTTTAAGAGAAAAATGCAACCAATAAAGCAACAGGTGGTGACATATCTGCAGTATAAAGCAAGACATTGAAATGGGACAGAGCAGCTATGATAAATCAGATCAGGTTTGATTAGTCTGCTGAATTTAAATGCATTTTATATGTATTTTTTATCAAAATATATATTTTTTCTGTGCATGTTTTTTCTTATTTGAATGTATTACACTCTTTACGCTATACTAAGGTCATTGAAGCTTACATTTGGCATTATTTTTCTTCTTTTTTTTTTTTTTTCCATGAAAAGACCCAAACCAACAGTGTTTTAGTACATCTGTCAGTACTTTTCAACTTTCCAGCCCTAAACCTTTTTGGTTTCTACTGAAGAGGTAAATCTTTAAGAATGGGTCACAAATGTAAACTTTCAAAAAGGCTTAAAGATACTGAGTAATTTCTTGAAACAGCCAGGCACTGTAGTTGTTACAGCCATGTTACTCAAACTGGAATAAATTGTGTATTTTTTGGGGACTGTTTTCAGCTGTAGAATAATCCACACTTGGTGCGCTGGTGACTATTTACAGTGCCCATGTTTGTCGTAGTGAAGGAATATATCACCTAGTGCACAGATGTGGCTCATTTATGTGTTTTTATGGGACAACAATGGAGCAATAAGCTATATCAGGCTTTGGCTGCTCAGGCAATACTTGTTACTAGGATCAATTAATTTCTTTTAGTATTTTCACTAGATTTGTTCATAGTACGAAAAATATTGAGTTTACGAGCCACATTTTTTCAGTGTACTTCTCATCTGACTTTAATGTATCCAATTATCTAACTTTAGTGTAAATTCTACACTGGATTAAGTATAATAGTATCTGCGTGCCTCTCTCCCTTTATCCCTCTCCTTCCCTCTCTCTGTGAGCCAGGAAGCTAAGAGTATCACTCCAGAGGGGAGCCACAACAGCGCAGTAATCCCACCCAGATTCTAGTCTCCATTCATGGCTCAGTGCTGTGCTGAGCCGAGCTGCACTGAGCTGTTCAGCAGTTCACACTAGAGTGACCAGAACTGGGCATTAATTCACTGATCCCCCTGCCCTCCCTACTTTTTCTTTCTCCACCGGACCCTGGGGCCAATCAACAGCTCTTTGTTCACTGTCACTTAACCAATGACTTCTCAGGGGAAGGGAGAAAGGCTGCATGGGGTGTTAGTGAGGTGCAACGGGCAGGTGTCACTGCTTCTGAAAGGAGAGGTGGATGGAGGAAAGCGGAAGTGGAGGAGAAAGGAAAGGAACAAGAGTGAATCCGTCACCAGGAGATATAACAAATCAGTCCTGCCCCTTTTCCTCTGCTCTCTTCCTCTCTCTTCTTTTCTGCATTCCTGTTCCACTCCCCACATGGACGTAGAAACGGCTGCTGTTGTGTTTTTATTTGCTGGCCAGTGGAGCTGCTCTAGCTGTCACAGGTCACTGTGGCTGGATGTGTGTGAGGAATGCCTCTGCATGGCTCTACATGTCCACTGAGCAACTCTGCCTCTGCTTCTGCATGTTTACACCGAAAGAAAGCCTTTTGTCAGGCCTCTGTTTTCTGAGCTTATCGAATAAGGAAAAGTAAAGAAAAATTATCAATTGCAAATTTTCATCTGAAAATTTAATCTTTGATTTGGTGCATCATTTAACCCTTCTTCTGCACAAATGAGCTATGAAGAATAACTTTCTAAAAAATTATTACAGAAATAATTTGGAAAAACAAAAAATCAAAGGGAAATTCATTTTATTAATTGAATATTATATATGATAAATACAAATAGACTCATTAAGCATAGGAACATCAGTATCTGTAGTTGCTGTGCTTTCATGATTCTTTTTAGTGTAAGGTGTGCGGCATGAGTTACGATATAGATCTAGCCAGGTTAAAAGAGAGCCACATTCATGACATTAAAAACTAAACAACCCAGGCTAACCCATTAATCTTGCTTCCTAGTACACCCCTCTGGTCTTTTAATTTTGCTTTGTTGTTATTTATAACATTTTGTATTCTCTCTCTCTCTCTCCTCTATCTCCAGACGAGTATAAGAGTAAGGTGGTCTGTGAGGAGGAGAGGATGAGGCTGAGCTGCAAACGGGGTATGCAGATCGCTGTCTACTCCGCCATGTTTGGCCGAACTCAACAGGGCACCTTGGAGTGTCCCCTGCACCACAGGAGGGCCCCGTCAGTAGGTGAGGCTCCTTTGCACTCTCACGCTGCAGGTAGAAGGATAGTTGAGCAGATGAGGAAGCTGCATTCCTACCAAAGATAGAAGATGGATGCACAAGTTCTTCTTAAGTTCGAACTTTGCCTGGTTGCACCACACAAACTAGTTCTTATTAAATGTCACTAAATATTTACTCATCCGAACTGTGAAGTGTTGCTAACTGAAGGAGCTAACTGACTAAACATATGACCCATTTAGACTGACGATAGAAAGAGATAATATAAAATATGGTTGGAATAATAGACCTTACCCTCGATCAAAATGGTGTTTAACAATGATGAGAACTGAGAAGATGTTAAATTACTCTACAATATACCCTTAAATTACAAAATGTTATGCTAATGATGTCAGACTTAATTACTAAATATTAGTTAGGTTAGCTTTATCAGACTCTGAAACACATATTTCTCCATGTACATATAAATAAAATAAAACAAAATAAAAGTCAGACCTAAATTTACAAAGGATTGGCAGTCAAATTTAAAATATTGCTTTGGCCTCTAAAACTTGATGCTACAGTCCTGTTAGTTGACTGCTTCAATTCTATGGCACACAAATGCCTCCTAGAAACAGATTTACACATTAAAGTCTTTACTTCAATAATGTTTGATGGTTTATTATCATTCGCTCCCTTCATAGCGTCAGCTTGAGGTCAGGAGAGGAAAGAGATTTGGGAATGCAAATCAAGTCGGCTTGTGTTTGCATGATGTTAAATGAGTCTGCTTGTCTTGCTAATGCTCTTATACATATTCATGACCTGGGAGAGTGGAACTTCAGGTCACTCTGGGCTTTGATTTAGTCTTTATGCCAGGATTTGTCTGAGCAAAACATATGCACAGGCGTCATTACGCATCCGTCTGATGGGGGAAATTAATCATTTTTATTGATGGGTTTTACACGTCAGCACTCAAACACCTCCGAACCATAAAGAGAACTACAAACGCTTTCAGGCTCATAACTGCTGTTGAAGCTCTTCTTCATGAATTTTCTTTGACTTGGGCTATATTGCCTGGAGATGCTGGTGTGGTTTGGAAGATTTTATAAATCTCTCTTTAGCTTCTTTGCCTCAGAGGCTCTAGAGCAAACACTGTCCTGCCACACCCATCCTTGATGTCAACTTTTCACGCTCTTACAACCTGAGATTAGTCATTCATAATTTAACTTTTAGACACATATTAACATATAGCATTTCTCCATCTTGTTAGGAAAGCATGCTGAGATATATAAAACTACCATTGAAGCTCAGGTAGACACACACAAACACACATTGCCAGAGGAATTGGGGTGGAATGTAGATCAGGTGTCATCCAAAGCACAGAGCTTGGCCCGTAGAAAAGGGACAGTATTGAGTTCCCTCCAAGTATGTATGTGTGTATGTGTGCGTGTGTGAGTGCATTGGGTATCCAGATGTACCCTTGCCCTTGTTTAGGGGAATGTTAATGACTCTAAGCTTGGATCCATGACAAGTATTAGTATAACCATAGCTACCGTGGTGGCCCCAGCCTCTCTGCTGGGCAGCTCATTTATTTCGCTTTAGTTTACGCTGCCTTTGTTGCGTTAATGTATAGAAGCAAATGGGCACTGGGGTCTTGCGCTTGTAAATAAGTAGCCGGAGCAGGTGTAAGTTAACTGGTGTGTGCCTGTTTTAAAGTTGTGAAGGAACAATGCACTACGGATGTGCCCTGTATACCTTCTTAATGACAGAGGTGACAGGACAAGATCGACAGGCAGACACAGGTGTCAGTCAGTGGGTAATCAGAGACACATATATAAAGATTAGCATTGTGGGAGTGTGTATGCGTGTGTGTTGTTGTATTCTGTATGAGCATTGAGAGCCTTGCTTTGAAGCAACCTCATCCAGTTCTCCACATGCAGGTGGACCAGGAATGTGCAACAAGTAGTAGTAGCAGGTGAGACAGGGCTGGCCTGATATCTGGTTTCAGATTTGGGATTAAATACAGTAGCTGAGTTCTCCCAGCATTCATGGAAAATGGACTCTACTGTTACAGTTGTACAAAGGCCAGATTAGGGGCAGAGGAGCAGCGGTTTTTACTGTCAAATCACATGTTAAACTTGTGTGTTTACATCAACTGGATACTCAGACATACACAAACGCCTTGTTGTTCCTGTTCACCCATAATACAGCATGCTTTTACTGTCTCTCCATCACACACACACACACACACACACACACACACACACGCATATACACACTTCAACCACCCACAAACACCTCCTCAGGCTGTTTCAGACAGTCTAGCGGTGCCCTAGTGGGATTTCCCTTGTCAGCTCTGTCTTTCATGTGGCTCCATGTCACCAGGAGCAGGAAGTGATGGTGTCTTGAGTGACAGCTTAGACACACACCGTTAATTATTTTTTAACAGCTTTTCCCTTCTTTTGGTCCTCAGTCCGAGGTGGTGCGGTGCCTCGTGTGTGTGTGTGTGTGTGTGTGTGTGTGTGTGCGTGTGCGTGTGTGTGTGCGTGTGCACATGTGGCTCTGCATGTCTGAATAATCTTGGGCTTGGCAATTGCATTATGCACAAGTTTGTTTTGTGCCTATTTAGATTGTATGTCTCTTTAAATGTGTGTTTGAATGTGCCAACAAGATAGGTTATAGTAATCTCCTAAACCACATTGTCCTGGCAACCTCACCGCTGCCTGAGGTGTGAGATCAATGACTGAACTCACACAGCTGGCTGCACCTGCACAGGTGAAATATGCATAGTGTCAGTCAGACATTGCAGAGCACAGCAGTAAGGAATAGCTTTTACACTATTTATTTAATTTTCATTGCAACTGGGGTTACAGTTCCACAAACACAGCCACCTTCAAAGTAGAGATTTTTTTTTTTTGTCTGAAAACTAACCATCCTCTGAAAGTGCTTTTTAAGTCTACGACCTGTATTTAGCTTGTGAATGTTGTAGTATTTACCACCACAGAGAGCTGTAGAGAGCTACTTCATGTTATGCTTGTTGAATCTGAAGCTCTGGAAAAGTATAACAGACAAAAACAAGTGCATACACAGGCATGTGCGCACAAAAGTAAGACCTCTTTGATCTCGTCTGTTCCTTGGTTTTGGGGTGGGGTGGGAGTGGTGGAGTTGGACAGGTCTTGGCGGCGATGGAGAATCCTCAAAGCAAAGGGGCCTGCTTCAGCCCTCCTCTCTCATCTGCCCCATTACCATCACACACACCTCTTGACATCTAAATAGCCCCCCATGCTTGGCATGTCGGGTCTCAGACTGCAATGGGTTGTTTTTTTGAAAGGCACTTTCACTTTTGAGTATGTGCACAGCAAGATGTTTAAAACTGTAAGCACGGACTGGTTGGTCTCTCATATGATCACAGTAGCTTTTAAAAGCCAAGCACGCACAGCTGCAGTTCAAATTTAACACTTGGCTTTTAGAAGCCTGTTCCAGTTGTTAGGGTTCGAGCTACTTCGCTGTAACCCTATCTGCATTTCTCTTGACTTTGATGCATACAGAGCAGATAAGTAGGAGGATGTCAGTGTTGTTATGGACTCTGCAGATTAGATAAAATTCTGTACAGTTCTGTGTGTTTAAACCTGTCCCAAAAGAGTCACTATAGTCCAGCTGTAGCAGTAGTTGAAAGATTCCAGGAATTTAATTCTTGGTGGTGACTGTTTTTCCTAAACTTCTCTAAAATAACATCCCTGATGTTTGTAGTCTGGCTTCGCCCTGCATACGTTTTCCAGGATCGCAGGTCCATGCAAGGTTTAGGGCAAAGGGTCACCACTGATTGTAATTCAATGAATATATGAAGTAACATGTTGTCAGTGATAACACACGAGTAAGGTTGACTGTTTTGGTGCCTCTGACTCCAGAAATAACCTGCTATCAACTGTCAAACAAATCTTGTGTGTGCGCATGAGTTTTTCCATGTAAGAGTGTTTGCATGTTATCTGCTGGACACTTTAATCCTGGAACTAACTTACCATAACACCTGAATTCACTGTGTTAAAGTAAAATGAAATTGTATTGAAGTGAATAGACCATTTACAGTAAGTATGTGTGTGTGTGAATGGTTTTAAATTCATAAATGGCATTCACAGATAACACTTGGCGTGTGCACGTCCATTCACCCTATCGCGGCATCTGAAAGTCACTGTTCTATCACACAAAGATGTTTAATCCCACAACAATGACGTGAGCTTTTTTATGAAATGATACATGTCGAAGGTGAGTCAGAGCAGAAGAAGAGATGAGGACTTTTGACAAGTTTGTCCGCCCATTGTCTTGGAAATTCCAGGAAAGGTGTGCGTGGGTGGAATACCTGGGGGATTGTTATGGAGAGTTACTGTAAGAATTTTCTGGAAAAGGTTGCTGTGGATCTAAAGTGTGTGTGTGTGTGTGTGTGTGTGGGTGGTTGGATGGGTTCGTGTGTCTGGATTTCTACATGCTCAGAGGGGTGTTTTTATGTTAGGGACAAACACACGAAGTACTGTCTTATAAATTTGTTTCACAGTCATTCAGTCCACCAGCATAATCTCTCCCTACATTCATCTTAATATAAGGGCTCTGTGACAAGTGAAACTTAACAGCAGTCATCACAAGACACAAGAGCCACTATTTGATTATATTATTGTAACGCTATTGCCTTGTAAAATTATTGCGTCATGTTAAAGTAATTTAGTGGAAGTGGGAGAACTGGTAGATTTCTGGTGAAGGCACAATCTAAGGCTGATGCCGGTTTCAAGTAAGCAGAAAGTTAGATGTATGACGGATGACTGATGTGACAAAAGGAGATGAGCAATAAAGACGTGCTGCTGGTACAGGGCATCATACCAACACAAATGCGTGAAGGCCAGAGATAAAGAAACAGAAAGTTTCTCAGGCTAGAACTGCTCTGTTTTATCAGTCACTTTAAGAGGCTGTGGGTCATTTTAAAAAAAAGGTTATTCCTTTGTGTTTTCTTGTTTGTGGTTCTCTGTATGTGACCTCAGTCTGTGAGTGAGAATACAGGTCCAGGAAACTCCTCCCTTTCCTTCAAGTCAATGCTTCTCGTGACTGTGGCCCTTCTCTTCTGAGCCATAGGCCTGTCCTTGTTGGGCGTGCAGAGGCTGGAGGGTGGGTGCACAGGCTCGGAGGTGGTCGAGGGTAAAGGTTAGAGGTATCAGGGGTTATTCATGCCTGTTCCACTCTGTCTGTGTGTGTGTAAGAGAGAGAAAGAGAAAGAGAGAGAGAGAGAGAGAGAGAGAGAAAAAAAGGGAGAGAAAGAAAGAGAGAGAGAGAGAGAGAGAGGGGACTGGTGTATGCTTGTCTGTCTGTGTTAAAGCCGCTAATGAGAGCCAGAGGAGGTCAGACCCTGAGGAATGCTCTTTTAAACTGCATAGATATGCTGTGTGTGTGTGTGTGTGTGTGTGTGTGTGTGTGTGTGTGTGTGTGTGTGTGTGTGTGTGTGTGTGTGTGTGTGTGTGTGTGTGTTTGTGTGTGTGTGTGTGTGTGTGTGTGTGTGTGTGTGTGTATAATATCCACATATATAAGCATGGTGAGCCAGTGGACAAAGAATAAATGGGTGTGTGTGTCTTCATCCTCTTGTCTCTAGAAGTCTCTATCTGTTTCTGAAACTCCCCCCTCCAGCCCCACCCATTCCTCCGTGGGACCCCCTGCTCAACTAATCACCCAGTCAGGGAATCAAAGCTGCAGCTAATGGGGGCCTGTCTGTCAGTGGGTTCCCTTGTCAGAGAGGAAAGTTTTCAGCGTGGCACACCAGCTCAAACAAGCCCTCTGGGGAGGAAAAGAGAGAGGAAGGGGAAATCAAAGCACATCAGGCAGAACAGGAGGTCATTGGGCTGCAGCATCTGCACATAGACACATACACGGTTACGAACAATCACACAGGAATGGCATTTTTACCAGTCGTAATTGTGACAAAGTTAATGGTAGAAACATAGAAGGATAAATTATTTTTTTCTAAATAAAACTTAAGTTGTCTAATATTATTTTGTCATCAAATATTGTGTACTTTTTTAACTTTTAACATTGGGATGGATGATTCTGTTGATTGGAAATAGGCATTTAAATTAGAGCTGCAATGATTAGTCGATAAATCTATTAGTCAGATGCCTAAAAATGAACCACAGACTATTTTGATAATCAATTAATCATTTTAGTAATTTTCTTTAAGGTTCCAGCTTGTCAAATGTGAGTATTTGATGATTTTCTTTGTCCTATATGGTAGTGAAATGAATAACTTTGGGTTTTGGACTGTTGATTAAATAAAACAAGCAATTTGAATACGTCTCCCTAGACTGTGGGGAATTATAACATGCATTTTTTTTTTATCCTTTTCTGACATTTTATAGACAAAATGATTATTCAGTTTAAGAATTAAATGGAAAAAAAAAGGTTAGTGTTAGTTAGCAGTTCTAATGTTGGTTTGTATGGTATGTCTCAGCTGATCAGAGGATGATCATTCTAATCAAAGGCTAATCAGCTGAGAGGGATTGTACATTCAGTGCTTCCTTGGTCCAGGTTGTACAGTGCTGCTGTTTCAGTCCTGTCCTCAGGATGTCGCTCAGCATGTGATGCAAGTGCTGCTCAGTTTTTGTTGCTGTCACCCCTCTAGATACACTTTGGCATTTAAACCATTATATTTGTTCCTTACTGATGAAATGCCCCTACCGCATTCAGCAGTACCCATTTTATCTCACTTGAATAAACCTTCATTTATTCTGATTCAACCGCATTTCTGTCAAACACACTTTCTCGGTGAGACATGTTTCTACTGCACATTGCAAACAAGAAGAGAGGTGTGTCTGTGTGGGGAAGCGTGGTGCCAGCAATAACACAATAATTCATTTAAAGACTGTTTTCTGGAACCACCATTACATGCTTTCAGATGAAGTAGGCTGTGAATTCTCCTCATCAGTCGCCATTATCCACGCATGTTTTGAAGCGACAGTGGGAACTGTCTAACCTTTTGAGGTGTCTTACTAGTTATCCAGTTACACTCACTGGTTCCCACAGGCTTCCACCTCACTGCGTCCTGGTTGGGAATTCCAGTGTGTCGGCTCCAGCTGGGGAGTGTCCGGTTGCCCCCCTTCGAACTGACATTGATTCAGGTTCACATTCTTAAGAGGTTTTCTACACGTGGTCTTTGATCTGAGTTTTCCTACAAATATAATCATTACCAGGAAATAAAGTAAGGCTTGATTATGTTTTTTGTAATCCAGTAAGACAAGACTGCAGTTGTGGACCTTTTCAATAACTTTTATCTGTATAGCACCAAATCATAACAAAAGTTATTTTCATATGGTATATAATGAAAGAAATATGACTAGTAATAATACCAGTGATGATAATTCCCAATGTTGACACTGTGCATGACCACCGGATTGCCCTCTTCCACTTCCTGACTGGGACGTTTGCCCTTTGACCTGAGCCATAATTTGTTGTGGCCTGTTGACGTGTGAGCCAAGCCTTAACCAGCCTGTTCTCTCTACCTTTCTGATCTTTCTCTCTCTTTCTGTCTTTGGGGCCCACCAGGTCAGACGGTGCGAAAGCACAGTGTCCACTTTCAAAGGCTCATCTCCTTGTGTTGTTTTTTAGGGGTTAGATGGGCCGTGGGGTCCTGGGAGGCATCCATGTGGAACCCTGGCCCATACACATTCCCACAAGACTCAGCAAGAGGTTCTTTGACTTCATTAGTGCTCCTCACACACCTTTTGGGGTGTCACTGAAGTTCATGATGTGGAACATAGAATACTGATTTCTCTAGAGCTTCACAATTAACTGAGAATAATAGAATTTGTACACAATCCTCTGCTTTTCAAACAGATCATTTGCCTATTAACACAAACTATGCTAAATTAATTAATTATGAGGCAATTAATCAGCAGATTATTTGATAATAGAAATAACTGCTTGTTGTAGCCCTACTTTAAAATTACATTTGTTAAAATATAGATATATAAACCTGGCTTATGAGTCTAACGTTTACAAGCATGACGATTTGGAATATCATCTTCTGTGGTCGTGTTATTAATGTGTGAGAGGAAGGAAGTGGGAGCGGAAAAAGAAAGGAGAAGAGCCTCATCTGTCCATCCGTGCTCCCTGTGGGATGAGAGCTGCAGTGGAGAAGGTCTGGAGGAGCTGGCGGGTGCTTAGGGATGATGAATGAGAGTCACATCCATTACTCTGTCTGCTCTCTATGCACAAACACTCACATGCGTACACACACGTGTTGGATCAGGTATCCTTTTAGACAATGTGAGGCCCCAGTAAGGTTTCTGTATGTGGGTCTGATTTGGACAGAGGCTCCACCATGGGAGCTGAGAAAGCCTTGATGGGAAGGAGTGTGTGAGATGTCCCCTTGCTCTCACAGGTGTGTGTGTGTGTGTGTGAGTGAGTGTTGTAGCTGACAGAGGCTCATGTAGTCCTTTTGTGCCTGAAGTGCTGCTACTTGTCCATCAGACAGTCTACAGTAAAGTAGTAAGAGACTCATCTGCAAAATGAACATTTAATATGTCTTAGTATGTCTCAACTCAGAAAGGTTACAAAGGTTACACTACCAATTAACTGGAATTAGGTGTAACTAGTGTCTCAAATTCAGGGCTACAACTATCTATGATTTCCGTTATTAATAATAATAATTAGCAATTTTTTTTATTGACACAAAATTATCCAACAATTTCCAAGAGCCGACATATTCATATTGCTTGTTTTGTCGGATTGCATTTTTTACTTATTATATTACTACCAGAAAACCCATAAATATTATTTGAGGAATATATTTTTTTTTTCTTTTTACATTTTGGCTTAAGAAATACATCATACAAATAAATTTTCTGTTGATTGGCTTATTGATTAATCAACTAATGATGTCATCTGTACTCCCTTTGATTAGTACCAAATTACACTCATCTTTTCCTGAAATCTTCTTAAGAAAGTAGTTTGAGTTATGTATAAGTTCCTTTCTGGGAATTAAAGTGTTACCAGAAAAGGTATAGAAGCAGTAACCGCTCTCTCCTATTATTTAATCATATAATTAGATAAACCATTATTTTGCATCAGTCTGGATGTCTAATAATAATTAAATCCGTTTCCTCCTCTCTGTCTTTGTGTCAGACTGCCAGTCGTCTTTGGCTCTACAGGTCCTGACCGCCCGCTGTCAGGGAAAGAAAAGCTGTCTGGTTCGAGCATCCACAAAAGACTTTGGAGATCCGTGTTATTCCGGCACCAGGAAGTACCTCAGTGTCATCTACACCTGTGGTGAGTCCCAACACACCTTTACTGAGGGCTTCATTTTTTTACCACCAGGGGGTGATGTTCACTCACTGATCAGCTTAAGTCTGGTCTCTGATGTTTTAGCTCTGTGTTTCAGAGTTACTATCTCTAAAATGGGCTCTGTTATACTCAGAGAAGATTTATATGTCTTTTCAACGTATGATGATGATGATGATGATGCTACCAGGTGCACTGCAATATGGATCTCTCTACCAGTGGACCAGTATTATGGTACCTTCACAGGAAATAATTGCTCCTGCTTACTCTCACTAATAATTTGAAGTACTTTTCTATTTACTTTTAAATTAAATTCATGGGTTTAATTCAGGGACAAAGTGTGATGATCACTTTTTCGACTATAAATGGTTTCTGAAAGTTTGTTTTTTCACTATTGAAGCAGTTTGTTTTAAGTCAGAGGAAGTGAAGAGGGCCAAACATGAAGTTCATAGCTTGTACCTCTACTTATTTTCCAAGTAAATGAGTAAGTAAATTTCTTAAAGTAACATTATTCTAGCAAACAGGACACCCCCAACATTTAGTTAAGAAAAACAATTTTGGCATTGTATCTTCTGTTTTGATTTTTTTCCTGTGCGGATGAGGGAGAACGATGGTCTTCCTTTTTATCTGTTCCACACCCCTGAGCTAATCCTGACCTGTCAAGGCTGTAATTCATTAACCACACACTCATATGCAGACACACGCTATCCAGGCGCCTCCAGCACCAGGAATTGATCAATCAGCGCCAAGGCCCAGAGCCTCCCATACCCACCAGCATAACCGGCACATAGATCCAGATCCAGACTTAGACAACTATGATGTTTTGGCCTTTAAATGGGATTTTTGAGTTCTGATTTTAAGGATTGGATTTCATGAGATTTGCGTCTGTTCCCGTTGGGCCTGAAAATCACTATTATGTGCCTCCATAGGACTGTAAATTAATCAGAGTCTATGTGTGGATTGTATTTTCCGTTGTCCCTCTGCAGCTCTTTACAATGCTTGAATTCGCACATGGGCTGAATTATAATTCTGAAGTCCCGATCACAGTTTATGGCTTGTTTATTGTCTGGTTTTGACAATCCACCATCCATTCCTTTGTCTCCAAATTCTGCGTGTTTGTTGGATTATTTGTCCAAGAATCCATCCGTCCTTTATCTCAGCAACAACCGGTCAGCACAGAGAAAAACACACAGACCGTTCTGCTGTGTTTATGGAATCGTTTGGTTTGAATCTCTGTCTGACCTCCCTTATCTGTCACTGATAACACAACACACTCTTCTAACAGCTCTGGTGCTGAGCTGGGTTGGTAAATGTGTGAGTGTTTGTCGGGGATGTGGGATGGTGTAAATGTTCAACGGATAGAGGGGGGGAAAGTGCTGTGAGGGGGGTAAGAGATGGGTTCTCTGTGCTGCGGTGGGGAGTTGAAACTGTTGAACGTGAGTAAATCAGTCTAGCTGCTGTAGACATGAAGTCACTGGTTGCTCCAGGCTCCAGCAAAGTGGTAATTTTGGGGGATCCTCTTTCATTGGTGGTTGAGTGTGTGTAGGATTGACCCCATTTGTGTTGGAGTAGGGGATGGAGGAAGTCTGTCTCCACATGATTGGTTGTATTTATGTGCGTGCGTGTGCGTGTGTGCGTGCGTGTGTGTGTGTGTGTGTGTGTGTTTGTGTGTGTGGTTGTCTGTCCAATGTTTTGTTTCAGTCGAGAAAAGTGTAATCTACTTACACAAAGTGATTAATAGCACAACACTTCAGTGTGTAACATTTAACAGACTCTTTTTTGTCACCTGAATATAGGAATCATTATGTTTTTGTTACATCAGAACGAGCCGTTAATAACTACAGACACTGCGAGTTACCTTCCATGGAGTCTGACATGTTGAACCACCATGTTTCTACAGTAGCCAACCACTGGCTCTAGATAGGGGCATTTGTTTTTTGCACATTTTCCCAGCCACCGTAATCTCTCCTTTGCACTTGAAAGAGGAGGGTGAAGCAAGGGAGCGTCAATCTGCAATTACAACTACTAGATGCCAAAAAATTCAGCACACTGGAGCTTTAAAAAAATTACAGAATTTTTGATTCGTAGTGAATGGTTAAATAAAAATCCCCTTGATTGGCAAGTTGGCAAGTTTGTTAGACTTTTACGTCAGTGGTTTTCAAACTGGGGTCCAACAGGGGTCCAACAGGGGTCCTTCAGTTGATTGTAGGAGGTCCCCAGCAAAAGGAGGAATAAAATATTTTAGCTTTTATTTTTGGGAAGTTGAAACAACAAGGGAAGAAATACAATTGGCAATTTTTTCCAGTTTGATCATGGATTCACAATGAATACATAGGAAGCCCTGTTTTAGGTATTTAGAGTTTTTTTTTAAATAAAAGTAAGATTTTGTTTGGTTCTAAAAGGATCTGAAATCAATATTTTGAGTATGTATACGTGTTTGTGTGTATAACTAAATTTGTAGCACGGACCACGCTGCCTGAAGGAGGTGTTAACCCACTTAAAATCTTTACTGTCCCGTGATGGCCTAAGTGCTATTTTAGGGGCTTTTGCAGCCTGCCAAGAATAAAATAATTTAGGCAACAGCCTTTTACGAGTCTTTATATGTGTATGAGTTGGTGTTTGGGTGTACTTCACACACATGCATAAGTGTGTGTTTCACAGTATATGGACTCTCTATCGGCCTTGGCCTGCCTGTGATTTATAAAGCCATCAACCCCCCCAAGCTCCAGCTTCTTCCTCACACAGCCCCAGGGGTGGACTTGCTCTTTAGAAATAACACTGCAGCAAATGGCCCAGAACCTGCCATCAGTCTCCCAGCAGATCACACACACTCTGCACAGCCGCCACTGTCAGGCTTCATTTACATCCAGTCCCCCTGGAGGAAGTCCCTAAGGTTTGTTTGTTTGTCAAAAAATACTTAAGCCAAGAGTCCGATCCCAGCTCTAAATATTTAAAAATCTCTACATTTCAGGAAGATGAAGTATATAAAATAGCAGCAATGAGTTCTGACTTCCAAATTATTCATAACCTAATCTTGGAAATATTTACTGTTGGAGATTGATGAATGAGCCTGCTCGGGGCACTTTCTTGAAAAGGCAAGGTTCCAATATGGCCCCTTTGAAGTTTCTTTCTTGTAATGTTGTGTAGGTTATTTTGTCAAGGGTTTGACCCACGTCTTTTGAAGCTGCAGGAATGAAAAACTCTGCCTCTTGGCAACATGTATGTTTGATTAAAAAAGAATCAAATTCTGGTTGATGCATAGTGTAAGCATGTCTTTTTGGTCATGCGTTGGTATAACAGTTATAGGAAGGGTCCTATTTATACAGCTTGCTCAACCAGACCTCTGAGGTCTGTCCTGCAGCCCCACAACATCCTTCTTCCAACTTGCCAACATCTTTCCTCTTCGTTGTTGGTGAAGACACGCAGCCTGAGGGCATCCTGCTTCTGTATGTCTGTCTTTGTATCATAGAGCACTGCGATAACTTTAATTCAACAAAATATGATTTATAGACGTCTGTGCTGATCAAATCAAATCCACAAGAATCTTTCTCTCCTTCCTGTGTAAGCCCCAGAGCACAGGCCTCGTTACCCAGAGCACAGTTCTTTTCCTCCCCCGAGAGGTATTAAAGCTTCAGACTTTATATCAAGATGAGGAGGCCTCTCTCCTAAACTTCCCTCCAAGGCTTCCCCTCAAGAGTGTTCACTGCAGTGTAATGGATCACCCTGAACAAGCCACACAGCCTCTTTGGAACCATGCAGAGCGGACTTTCAGGGGGATAAAAGGGAATTGAAAGCCTAATGAACAGGTCTAATTTCGTAGGAGGAAATGGATTAATTGTGGCGCTTAGCTGGTTAACAGAGGACCTGGATTTGGGGAAAGGGGGTGGAGGCAACGCAGACATTTCCAACCCTGGGGTTGAAACCTCAAAATGGAAAAAGGATCCCTAAAAAAATCCTAATGAAAGTATAATGAGTCCATTAATATCCTATATTTGTTTTCAGATTTAGGACTACTGCTGATGTGGGACTGGACACAAAGACAAAGCTATGCAGATTAGCTGTTAACCAGATTTTCCACTTACTGGTTGAACTATATAACATAACAATCTTACCTCAGTTACCTCATTCACAATTATTCTGTGCACTTTAAGGACTTTGTGTCCATGGTGGATTAAACGTTGAGTTTCGAAGTTCTGGACTTTGGAAAAAGCAGTTTGCTAACTGGACAAAAAACTGATTCTTTTTGTGCTTTTGGATGATTTTAGGGTAATTTCAGTCACCGGAGCTCAGCCACGTTTGGTGTGTTTGTAAACCCATAAACACTAACTTATTAGAAATAATGACAATGTGTGTAATAATGGAAGAGACTTAAGGGAAATAAATTACATTAACACATTTAGGAAAACAGCTTTTTGGGCCTATTTTGTTTGTTTGGTATGTTTCAATTTCCACATAAAACTTGACAGCAGTCATGTTCACAGAGTGCATTGTTCACGGGTGGTTGTCAATAGTCCCTTCTGAAAATGTACTAAACTTACTCTTCATGACAAACTAACTTTATTGAATGTCACAAAGTAACAATGTTAAGGTATCTGAGGATGGATTTTTCCTTTAAAGTGTTTAATTTAGGCACCATAGGAGCTGCTTTCATTCGTTTGGTGAATGTTACAATGTAGAGACTAAACTGCAAGCGACTGACAGAGGTGTGGTCACTGGACTGTGTTTTTTATGGACACAATCCGAGTAGCGGAGGCTCTAGCTGCCTACATGTGGCTCAGGGGGAGCTGATTTAGATGTAACAGGGGAAAATAGAGGAAGATAAAGATGTAATTCAGAAGCTTAGGGTTCAAATTGTCCCAATTGGTTATGCAGACATACACAGACACATACACACAAATATACATGCACGCAGATACTTGAGATACACATGTGACCACTGCAAGCCACACAGTCCTGCAGCTCCCCCGCACACATTCATGTCATGTCAG